GGGGGGGGGGGGGGGGGGGGTAATTATTTTTCATTTAAAATAAATTCTCACAAATTTGTGTAAGCATTAAGAGGGGAAGGGGGTCAGTAAAAAAGTACGAGTCGTAAGGTCAAGGGAAATAAACAAAAGGGAGAACCATCAGGTTTTCTGCAGAAGGAAGCGGGATGGGGGCTCTTGAAATATCCAGATTAGAAGTAAAATGCAGCCTTCCCCTCCCCCTCTGAATTAAGAACGCTGTCTTAGCGCTACATTGTCCAGAATATAACCCCCACCCCGCCCCCCCAAGTCTATTACCGAGACACAGCTACACTTCTAAACGACCTGTCCCTGAGATTTGATGTATTCAAATTTTGAATAAGTTTTAGTTTAAAGATTTTCAAGTTAATAAAATCCCTTTTCTGAATTTCTCGACGCACTAATACAGAATATATCGACTCTGATCAAACATTGAGGGCTTTGGCCCCCGTATTCCAACTGGGAAAAATATTTTCTAGCTACAAATCTGATTATTTTAAAGCAGGGCATAGAAGGGGATTCGCGCGATCCGGGAAACGGATAAAAAAATCTTACACGATTCGGGATATTCGGCCGGGATGTGGGATTTTGCTTGCTGATTTTCGGGAAAAACGTGAAAACATTAATAAATAAAATACATATTAAAACGCCTTTGAATATATTGAATTTGTTCGTGGCTTAAAATTGTCGCGGGACGCGGGATTTCAGGAAAAAATAGCGCGTGATTCGGGATCAGGACCCCTGCCTTCCAGACCCTGTTAAAAGAATTGTGACCTGGCGTGATCCAAATGGAGAAGTGATGGGGGCGTGGTAGTCCATCATAAGACACTGATGTCAGTCACTCTATTTTTAATATCAAATTTCATATCGACATTGTTGAAGCCTTTAGGCTTGTGTTATGGACCCGGTGAACTATCCTATGATATTTCCAGTCAAAGATCATGCTCATTAGATATCGGCTATTGCTTATAGCAGTGAGTACATTTTATGGAATCTTTTTGGTTGGCCTAGAAGCAACGATTCAGCAAAGTAAGTAAAGATTTATTATATCGACACGAACAAACATATTTATACCACTCCAAACCCCAATTATTTCCAGAAATAACGATTACCTTTTAAAAAAACTTCAAAATTAGAAAAAAAAAACTCACGCACGAATGAATAAAAGTAACAGGAAAGCAAGCGAATAAGGAATATTTCCCAAAGTAAAGATTTTTGAATTGTCGGAATAAGTTAATGAATAACTTTAAATTGTTTGGATTTACAGTAAAAACCCGCATATAAGAACCTAAAATTTAAGAACCTGTTAGGCTAAAATTTCATTTTCAAGCACCCTTCACATTAGAACCATTTTAGGCTAAAATCCTAAAACAGGTTCTTATTTTTAAAAAAGAAGAAAGAAATAGAATCAATCTTTTCAAAAATATATTTATAACACAGTCTGTACACAATAATGCTATAAACACTGGTTATTATTGGTTATATATGGTTATTATAACAGAATCAGATTAAAATAGTATACTGTAKTACATTTGATTACCTAAGCCTCCAAGAATACTGTAATTGGRCATTAAMGACCAGACTACAGTATTCAAAAATACTACTTTATTTCTCGAACAAAAGTTAAGAACCTAATTAAGAACCTAGTTAGCCTAATTTAACACTAAATACCATTTTTATAACAACCTGTTTAGGTTAACTTAAAAAAACCTAGGTTCTTATACGCGGGTTTTTACTGTATAGAAGAAGTATTTTTTTAGATTTGCCGTTAAAATTATTATTTCCACTCGGCTATTTCGGCTTTCCATTTTTTTCACCAAAAAGTAAAAATAATTAACTAGTTTAATTAAAGACTTGCTTTTAAAATTTGCTTTCCGGCTCGACCTGGAAGTATATAGACTAATAGATCGACGAAGTGTTGTTCTTGCTTATGTCAAAATTCTTCAAACAAATCAAATCTTTTAATCAATCCTTTGTTTGATCTGAAATCAGTTACGGTATTTTTGGAGATGAAAAAACAATATTAGCGTTGGTGTTGGTTTAGACGTATCTACACCATTGAATAACAATGACTCGGAAATATTATTTTTAAAGATATTTGTAGTCTATGCATTGGTAGATGCAATCCGATCGAGTAGTTTGCAAGTTTGCATAGCAAAATCATTTCTTAATAAAACAAAAGGTTCTGCTAACTTCATACCATGGCCAAAGTTTAAGAATCGATAGCTTTCCTTAATCCACAAAGTCGTACATCGTAAAACTCTTGTCCTTTAAAAACAAGCAAAAACGTTTATTGAAATTATAAAGCCGCGTTCGTTTACGATGGAAGATGGAAGGATGAATGAATGCATGGATTAATGAGTGATGAAAGAAAGATTGGAAGGAAGGAAACAATTAGGAAGGAAGGAAGGAAACGAAGGAAGGAAGGAAGGAGGGAAACGAAGGAAGGAAGGAAGGAAACAATTAGGGAGGAAGGAAGGAAGGAAGGAACAACTTTGACATCCCTAAACTAATAATATTTTTTTCTTACCAGGTCACGTACTAAGATTCACATTACAGCCTATAAGTATTATCAAAGCTGAAGGAAAAAATGCATCATTCAGTTGTACAGCTATAAGCACTGAAGGTGTAGTAACATACAAGTGGCTTGTCAATGAATCAACATTTCTGTCTCCTTCGAACAAGAATCACTTCACGTCTAATAATAGCGTCACTATTACAAACCTGCAGAGACGTGCTGATAATGGGGTATATAGATGTATTGCTATTAATGGTATAGGATCAATATTGAGTAACAAGGCTACACTACAGGTTGCATGTAAGTAAATGATATAATATCTACAGAAGGACTGCCCTGCCCTTCCCTGCTCTGCTCTGTACTGAATTCTTTACAAAATGAACCAAGTTTGATAGAGAAAATCCAAGTTAAAGTTTACGCAAATGAAGACGAATCTATATCAGATATAAAACCTCCTTCATGGTCATGGTTTCTATTGTGTTTCCTTCATGAATTATTAATGAGTTTGATAATTTCTTTTTCATATCCCAGATTTCGATGTCCTCGACACAGATCAAAGCAACACCTATCAACGCAAACAATACGAATCCATAATTCTGCCAGCACCACGAGTAAGAAGTGTTCCACCAGCAAAACACGTTTGGAAACTGAAAGGAAACGTCATTGAAGATGGTCATTCAAGTAATATTTTTATATCTCAAAATGGTGATCTTTCTGTGGTGGGACCTCAAAAGTCCTACGAATTCACTTGTATTGCACAAAACCCAGTCACAAATCAAGAACTACGAAAGAACTACATTCTCTTAGTCAAAGGTAATAGATCTCTTTACCTTTGGCAACATGTTTTCCCAATCCAGACCTCATGTCATTCTCTTGAAAAACTGACCCGCCGGTGTGAATTCGATAGGCCTCCGTTTTCAAAGGGTATCCACTCTGGAGGACGTTAACACTTTCTCAAATGTATGCGCTCAGCATTTTCGATCGTTTTAGTATGGACACATGGTCAAAACAATTCGAAGAATATGCCTTTTCAATTTCTCGATCCAAAATGGAAAATTGCTTTTAAGACGTGCATTGATTGCTTTATTACTGATTCTTAAACCTTTTTAAGATCTAGATAAGGTGAAAGAACGTCGTTTGATTGCATTTTTCTCTCTTTTTTTAAGGCAAAATCAATAAAATGAAAGATACCAGGTTACTTAAGGAACCTACGAATAAAGTTATTGATTCTGGCCTTGCCATGGTGGTGTTCGAGTGCATCGCTGATGTCGTTCTTCGAAAGATTATGGGCAAAATGTATGAAATACTTAAAAATATTTTTTAATACATTTATCTTGTTATATAGATTGAAACTGTTCATCCCTTTCTCCCTCCCTCCATCCATCC